TAATGTCGATGAATGGGAAAACATTTAGGAACAGATAAAGTCAACAGTATTCATAGTGTTACCAATAACATCAAATGGTCCCATCATATGCCACTCACAAAGTACCCAAAATGTAAAAAAACAACAACAACTGGAATGTCAGACCAGGTCTTTACATTGAGATGCACACTGGAAGGGATGGAAAGATTAGAAGAGACAACCAATTTATGTCACATGGTTAACAGAGCAACAGTGCCGATGTATGAAACCAACAAGGAACTTTACATGATTTAAAGCAATCAATGCTATGAAAACCTGTTCTGTGACAAATTTGTATACAGCTTTCATAAAGCACATTGCACACAATGAAATTTGCAGCAATACCTCTTTCTGATGGAAAAAAATGTGTTAAAACAAACATTAAACAGCGCTATAAGCTGTGTTTCTTCAAAGACCGCTACTTTGGTGTTAGCACACTTTAAAAATTTGATGTTAATTTGATATTACAAAAGGAACAAAAGTAAGACACTGAGAAAACATTTTTAAAGGATTTTAATCCATGTTAGAATTGAAGCTTGCGCATACTTCCCGTCTTCCAGACGTAGCTTATTCCCAAGAGCAAATGCTTTACTGCCTCGATTTCTAACGACGAAATTGGGGCTTTGCATATATATATATATATATATATATATAAAAAAGCAGAATTTCTACAATCTATACAATAATATATTTTTAAAGAAGGTATTCATGAAGCTGTTGAATCAGTTCCAGTTTAAGTGCATTGATAAAAATATGACGAATTAGTAAAAAAAACAACCCAAAAAACGTGAAGAATGAAAAAAACTGTAGATCCTTTAAAAATAAAAACTAATCTTCAAATAACTTTGTGTAGCAGTATATTGAATTGTTTCATGTAAATCTAATTCTGTCCCTTAGTTGTTTAAACTGTAGTTCTGTGTGCTAGAAGATCCTAAGGGCAACATTAAACTTCTATGCGACTCTTGGAGCATGCCCTGTCATGTTTAGAAAGTTGCTTTATCCGTTCAAATCAAAAGCAAAAGAAACAAGTATGGAACGTGATTAAAGAAATTAAAAATTTGTCCTCATTGTAAGCACCAAAGACTCCTAAGACTTCTCACTCTTTTATTCTAGGAACAAAAAAAGAAAATGTCTTCGACATGTTTTTTCTGTTTCTAAAAGATGGGGGACTCCTCTTTTTCAGAAACAATACAAAACATTCTCATTAGTACTGGAGGCTACATTCATATCTAAATATTCTAAATAACACAAGATGACATTATTTCTAGAGACTGATGAATCTTGTACAAAATCTCTTCCTAACAATTCTTCTACATTCTACCAAAAAGAGTAACAAGTATTGTTTGAATAAAGAGAAGCCCATGAACTTAATAATGGTAATTTGGTGCAGGGAAAAAGAAAGACAGACGGAAGCAACAGAGGGAAAGCAAAGAAAAAGGACCTACTAATGACGCTCTCCCACCACCCACTAAAATGTACTGAGGTCAGAGCTTTACTCCAAATGAGTTTCACGGGTGAGTCTTCTTTAGCCTATGTTGCATACATAAGATCCGGTGCCAGTCATTACATTATGAGTCATCTGTTCATGTAATCAATACATATTGAACACCTCTGAGAAGGTCTATAGCACTGCTGAGTAACTACCATCATAGGAAACACAACTTTAAGCTCTATAACAAGTGTCTTTTTATTAGCAATTGATCCTTTACTTATTTCCGGAGTACAAGTGAATATCTATCAACATCTCAAACTAGGTGTCATGCATGGAGTGTCTTATGTAACAAAGAACAAGAACATAATATCTCTAAACAAAACCATACTCTTTTCGCATCCTAATCATGCTCAAGGTAAAGTTAGGTTTTGTAATATTGCACTATATATCCTTGCACAGTGTACAGTACAACCAGGTAGTGAGTGCTGAGACAAAAGAAGCTGTCATTGTCAATACTTCATTTAATTTGGTCACTATTCTCCAAATCAGCTCCATCTATCTATACCCTCTCCTCTTTCATAGAAATAAAATCTGAGGTGCATGTGCATGACAAGAGTGGAATTTTTTTTTCTCAAAATTCCAGCACAACCAGACGCTATCAAAGAAGCTGTCCCACAAACCCACAAGAAAAGTCCACACAAAAAAGACAAAGGACAGGACAGAAATTTTCCAAATCGAAACCCCCCCCCCCAACAAAAACCATAGAAAAATTGGGATCCAGCTCAGGTTCGAATCTAAAACAATTGCACATTGGTTGAGCTCTTAAATAAATGTGCACAGCACCTGACAGAAAGCATAAGAAACGGTTAAAGTTCGCCATAAAATTGAAAAATCTTTTTAGCCCGTTCACTTTAGCTTTAGCAATACACAAGGCAGGTGGGAAAATACACCGAAAGAAGCCCACCGAGATACCGGGTGGCTTTGTGTTTAATAGTATCTTTCTGATCTTTTACTTTTACAAAGCCAACCCTCTGTCAAACTGCACAGAGTGATAGAAAAGACCCAAACCATAAGCAAATAGATCATTGAAAAAGTCCACACATATAAGGAGTATACTGTGTTATATTCAAGCCAGGCATATTATTGCAAATAGAGGACCCAGCATAAAAAAATTCCATTTATAACAATCATGTATCGCAGGCGGGATCTTCTATTTGATACTGGGCCAGAGGACATTTACTGCTCGCACGAATAAGACATTGCCTGAAGATAAAAAGTTGCTATCTTAAGGTGAAAAACAAAGATGGTTACCGCAGACAAATATCATTTTGTTTGCACAAAATTCGAATCAAACAATTATTTGCAATCACACAAATAGTAAAAAATATAAAGATTATATTAAGAAACAGAAATTAAATAAGGTAGATCATTCAAACAAGTCAGCTCTACTTGGCATACAATGGAACAAAGGTTACATTATTCTGATGGACATGAGCTGAAGTCACAGGACAACAAAAATGAAGGTAAAACTGAAAGCAATGTTCATGTAATTACAGATTCACTCAAAATCCATTGATGTAAAAAAAATGAAAATCACAAAATCTCAAAACACAGCTAAAAGCAAATAATCATCAACTTATAATCTGCTTTAAAAAAACAAACAAACGAACCCCAAATTATGTCAAAGATCAGTCCGAGTGAGAAACTCTTCTATTGTTTATTTTTTCTCACAACTTCATCACGACAGGTAGTACGTTGCTCTCGTAGCCTTCAACAACCATATACAGTATTACAGGGATAGCTCGAATTCGTCGGGACCAGCCTCGGTAGTTCCAGGGGTCCGTTGCTCGAGGAATATCTTACAAAAATAAAGAAGAAGAACAAATGGGACCGCAGGCAGTTTGACGGAAGCGTGATTTCGAGCCTTCTGTGTTCGACCTATCCGTTTTATACTGTAATATACTGTGCCTTACCACCTGTTGCCACACTGTATATTGACCTTTTTTCTGGGTGGTAATTTGTTTCCAAATCTCCATGAGTTAGGTCACATTGTACACTACAATGAGCATAGCAATATATCTGGAGGTCTTAATCAGAGTCTGAGGTCTCCCATGGGCTTGGTACTAAAAGCCATCAAACTATTTGCTCATTGCTACCTTAGAATTACAAAGTTCTATCTGACATTTTTGGCCGTTTTGCATTACTAAGACCATGAAGTCGAAAACCAAATGCTCTATCTCCTCTATCAAAATCTTAAGATTATTCGGAGTCGGGAGTCGCTATCAAGATATTCAAAGAATTGCATTCGAAAAAGCTTGACATGTTGTGAAACTCAAAAATTTTTACATCAAAATTCTCAAAGCTAGGTTCTGAGGAGATAGAACTTTGTAATTTTGGGGTAACGTCTTCTATTTGACAACTATCCACAACTGAACGATCGTTAGCTCATTCCAACACAATCACACAGATATGTAACGTCAAACACCAGGCATCAGGCCATGTGAGCATTGCAAGGAGAAAAAAAAGAAGAGCATCCGGCCCAACTGGACACATACTCAGGTACAGAACAAAAATATGCATAATTCCTAGCAGCCTTGAACAAGACCTTCCCAACCACTTCCCTTATTTTACGAATTAGAAAAAATACAAACGCATTCCCCCCCAAATATCAAAACACTGCAAGTTCCTTCTGTCATAATAATACATGCACAACGAATTAGTCATGTGTCTGATTGTAGGCTACAATATCCTTATGCCCAAAAGTCTGAGAGCAAATAGTAGGAACATGGAGGGAGCACAAGAAAAGAGAGGATCTCCGTACAAAAGTTGTGGAAAAAAACAAAACAAACAATATGTGAAAAGAATGTTGAATCATGAAGAACTTGTGTAAATAGGCAAAACAGCATGGGAATTTCTTCCATAATTCCTTCATGTCAAAAAACATAAATTGATAAGTGGGGAGAGGGGTAAGGAAAGAGTGGGCTCATTTATTTCATCAAAGATGGTGAATTTCAAGACAGATTACCACAGCTGATCTGTGAATCAACAAATGGAAGTGAACAAGGTCAAAGGATTGACATGGAAGTTAATAACCAATTCCTAAAAATGGTTTAACTGCTGCGTTTGTTCCCAGTGTTGATGCATAATACCCTGCCAAACACTGGCAATCCAACGTGAGTTCCATTTTCACAGCAGAACACCTGCTTCCTTGAAAAGACATAATGCTGAGAGGAAATATTCCATGTACGAAAAGTACTCAGACCACAATGCGATTAGCACCGTAACCCTATCTATACGCCCTGGGGTCATTTTGAACCCCCGGGGTTGTATTCTTCACATTTTAGAATACTTCTAGTGCGAAGATCTCTTTGAAACTTTCAGTATTTCTCAAAAAATCATTTTGATAGACTGCTATGCAAAGCATACGGATCGGATTAACGAGTAAATTTCCTCTTTGGAAAGTGGTGGTACAGAGTTCCCTCATGTCGTGTGGATACGATGGTAAAACACGACGTACAGATAGGGTTAAATGATGCGATCGAGTTCATCATTTATATATTCCACTGGCCTCCCCTCCCTTGTAAAATGTCAATTATGTCCCTTAAAAAAAAAAAGTCTTGTAATCTACCTCAGAACTCACAATCTTCAGGCTTTTTAAAAATATTAAACATAAAGACTGCAACCACACAAACTGACATTAACCTAGTGCTAATCATCTACTGGACACACCAGCTTGTTTCGATGCTGCACTGATCAACTGGATCCTTTCACCATCATCGGCACTGACGAAATCTGGGTCCCACTCCAAATCACTCGAGTGAATAGGGCTTGTCGTGGAAGGCTTCGACCAGCTGTCTTCTGACACTCGGGCTGCAAGTTTTCGTTGTGGAGACATACCTGTAATAAAAAAACAAATGATAATGCAAATTGAAGGCAAGGGTCTTACGAATAATTTGTGGGAGAAAAAGTAATAAAAACGTTTTAAAGGAGAATGAAATCAGAAAGGTGAACTGCTAATACTAACATCGACAAAATTTAGTTGAGGGAGTATTCTGTGAATGACTATGAGAAAGGTTTCAGAAGCACTGGCACATTTCTGGGGCACGCCAGTTAACCGCAGCACAACTTGAGTGCAGTGAAAAGTCAGCAACTCTGCAGTGGTAGCATGGCAATAGTTTTTTAAAAGTTTTAGTAAGGTTTTACTGTGTTCGCAACTGCATACGGTCATATGAGCGCCAAGGGGTGGATGTTAAATGAGATGTCCATACAGGGAACCAGACCCACTCTGCTCACCTCTCTAGCCTCAACAGCACAAAGTCTGGATTAGGAAAAAAAAGCAGCAGTTCCCTGTTGCAGTTCAAGGCACCCAGGAAATAGCAGGTCACAAGAGAGTGACAAACATGCAAAAGAAGTAGAGGAAAAATGACGATAGTAAGGATTAGGGGAAAAAAAAAGCAGCAGTTCCCCGTTGCAGTTCGACAAGAGTTATGAGCATGACATTGATGAATCAGCCCATTCACAATTCTACTGTGCCTAAGAGAACATGTTAATGTCCCCCCTTTGGGTAAGGCCTAATGACGCTTCAGTCAGTAGCACTGCCCCAGGGGGGGTGGGGGTGGGGGTGGGGGTGGTAACTGTTAGATAAATGCAAGAAGCACATAATTTCGGAATAAGTCCCAAAACCTATCACTGCTCACTGCTTCGGGCTCTGGCTTTGACGGTGTATAATACTTGTATAAAAAAAAAGGCATTGCTGTTAAGATGCAATAGAAACATTTTGGGGTTCATCTCCTCTGTGATGTGGAACTAATGTCATGCACAACTCCCTAAAAAATTAACCTGGAAGAACTCTGATGAGATCACAAAGCTAGGATCTTATCACTACAACCTGCAGTCCCATTCCTCCACCCCATCCAGCCCGCCCCCCAATTCCCAATTGCAATGAAGTAATGCAGATACACAGCCGTTTGCAAGTTACCCAAAAAACAAGCATAACTTTTTTGCGATCGTAGAATCCTTTAGAAAAAAGTAATAAAAACTTTATCTGGATCGATATTAACAACAATAAAAACCTTACCTGCTTCATGATCCCACTCCATGTCCAATGAGCTACCCTCTGTTAAGCTCTTGTCTTTGGTATGAGCATTACTGCTTGTGGTACTCTGTGCATCCCCTGAACCTTACACAAAAGAAAAATCATGAAAAAAATATATTGCCATCGATATATATATATGACAATGCAACACGTCAATATAAAAATTGCAAAAACTAAAATTTGTTTGACTGCAACTGAAGACAAGAAACAAGAGAGTATAATTCGGTAGAAAGGATCAGCATGGGTTTAACGCCTCTCTCAACACTCCTGGGCATAAAGAGACTGATTGTTCAACATCCATTCCAAAAGAACAAAGGGAGTCAAATGGGTGGGAAAACACGGAAACTCCCGAGACAACCCAAGTCTGAGAACTGCCAACAGGGTTTTATGTACCCTGCTTAATTTAGCAAAATTTGACAATTTTCTGGCGTAATTTCAGATTAGTTTCCTTTACCATTCTTGTTAAAATTAACAGAATCACATAATTTCACATTTTTGGGTTCAGTTTGCATAATTTCAGAATTTTTTTTGCATAAAACCGCAGGGACAGGTCTGAGAACAGCCCACAGGGTCTTCAAACCATAGTATGTCATTATACCAACTGAGCTACGAGTGCTCCCATGAAACTTCTCTCAGGGCTTCGTGCTACACCATGTCTTCAAATGACTTCACTTATGATAACACATTAGCTCTCAACCATTTTACAATTTATTACAAAGATCAAACCAACTCACAGTGTCTTCTTTCCGGTCCTTTCGGAGATGGATGTTAAACTCTTAAAAAGCCTAATAGTGTTGATAGAGGTGTTAAACGCATACCATTGGTTTTCTTTCATTTCATGCAAGTTTTCAACTCCGCTAGACATAAAAAAGTCATTTTCTTTCAAACTACTACATGTCTATTTTAAACTAATCACTAAAACCGTGTTTAATAAAGTAAGCAATAACATCTTATTGCAGTCACAAAAATAAACGAGCATCAGAAAAAAACAGAAAGAAAAAACTTAAATTATTTCGGTGATATGCTTGTTAAAAGGACTATGCCAACCTATGCCGGTGCACCAAGTTATCTGGATAACAGTTAGGACAGACATATATAAAGAAATTTAAAAAATAAAACTTTCAGCTCTAAGCCAAGTTAGAATAACACCATGGTTAAAATAACATCGTTTGTGGCCTGACATGCTTTCGAAAGCTTTCTATAGCTTAAGATGAAAAAAAATTGTTGAGACAAATTATGTATTATATAAATCTAAAGCTTTCATGATTCAAAACTGAAAGTTTTAAACTATATAGAGTCTATATGTCAAACTGCTCTCACTAAAAAATGTGGCTGTAAAATTTGACTAAATTGACCAATCGTAACTGAACAATGTTCATAGGCGTGGAAAGTTGGTGCATAAATCAAAGAATAAACATGTTTTTCTTACCATTTTTCACCTGAGATATCGTGGCAAGAGACCTGGCTTTAACACTTGCCAGGAAATTTTCAAAGTCGTCTTCCGCTCCAGCACTGTTCGATAAGTTAAAAACAGGAAAAACGGCCAAACATGAAAAAATTTGCAGAACTAGACAATATGCACGACATAACATTTTTAACAAGTATAATATATTGTAAATAGGAATGTGCTTTGAATTTTACACCCTCAATAGCCACTTGTTAAAAACATGATGCAAGTTATTTAATTTAGAGAGTTGAGAATAAGTCAACAGGGTGATTGTACTAACTAAAACAAAAACAATATACATGTAACTGTTCAGAATACAGCAGTGCTGTTCATGACTATTCAATTTATAAAACATAAAAAGATGCAACAACGCAATACTGGCATATAAAAAAGTAAGGGGTGGTAATCTGAAAACAAATCCACATTTTGGGAAATCTAAGGTAAATGTTTTGAGAATGATCCCTACGCAGTGTTATCACTGTGATCAAATTAAGAAAAAGAGGACTGAAAAGGAAAAAGAAAAGAGGGAAGACAAGAAGAAAAAAAAAAAAGGGGGGGGGGGGAGAAAGAACGGACACAAGAAAAAGGAGAACTAGACGGAGGAGAAAAAGGAGGAAAAGAGTAAGAGGGGAAATCAGAAGAGAGAAAGACTGAAGGTGACCTTTTCGCACACACTTACACTTCCCACTCGTCCTCATTCACCCATCCTCTGTTGGCCGGATTGCTCTTGGAAGCCAGCTCTTTGTCCTTGTTCAGCTTGGCTATTCTGGCCGCCTCGCGCTTGGCTTCATAATACTCCTCCTCTTCCCGCTCTATCTCCTGCTCCTGTTGTGCTAGCTGTTTGGCGAACAGGAAAGGAAAGGATGGGGGGGGGGGGGGGGGGGGTGTTTGTAAAAAGAAGACCAAATGGTGTTGAAGTTGTGCTTGCAGCATTGAAAACAATAAATTCACAAAGATGACTACAACTACAAAGGGATGCTTTCAGTATTTGAGGTTAGGGGATAGTTTTTATTCAAAACTCCTTTAAAAATGGAAAAAAATATTAGTAGTAGATCCAATTCATAACATTCACCACAGACAAACACCTCTATTCCGAATAATTATAAATATTTCAATATATTATCAATTGTGAACATAATAATAAACCTAAACATGAACACTGTCCTTAAGATGCAAAAGAAATATAGCATATGTCTAAGGTTTTATCTCATACGCAGGGCAGACAAAGAGAAGGTCAGGGGCAAAAATACCTTCAATTTGAGAAAATTTGCATTTCAATTATTCAAAATGGACATTTGGTTATTGACGAACTTCAGTAACAGCAAAGCTCCAACGTTAAAGTCATGTTTCATACTTATGTACCAGTCTGTGCTACAACACGACAATTCTTTTTATTTTTTAAATTTTGGAAAGAGATTGAAAAGAATGGGAAAAAACCAGTAAAACGTTCAGTTTTCAGTGTCTTCAAAGGGTATGAAATAAAGTCACACAGATCAGTATAGTTTATCTGGCCATTCAACACCTAGCATGCTCATCGGGGAAACAATTCCACACATCATAAAAGTACAGAGCAGCAGCGGATGCAACCAACTAAAGGATAATTTACGTCATGCATTTTCTTGCATATAGAACAAAACAAACTGGAAAAAAAATTAAAGCAAAGCAGTTTTGTCACCATAATATTACATTTGTACTGAGTCTCACAGTCAGGTACACAGTGAGAAACTGATAGACATACAGCTTGATTCAAATCGTGTCCTAAATCTCATTTACCACTTACATTGCTTTTATATATATATGGTAATATATTATATATTGCTTCTTCTTTGCCGAGTGACAAAGAAAATTTCGTTGGACAGATGCTTAAGGAGTACTCTTCTCCTGTTTCCTTTTCTGTGTTTCTCTGCTACCACAGAGGTAGTCAACACCGGATTCTTAATAATAATAATGAAAATAATAATAATAATAATAGATAGCATTTGTATAGCGCAAATTCACTGCTCAACAGCAAGCTCTATGCACTTTACAATATATATTATTACCCCAGCAGGCCTAATAGCATTCTAAAACAATCTCATCTTAATGGAGAAGAGATGGATTCATTAAAAAAATCATTCTTCAGTAGCTGGCCTCAGCAAGCCTGCTGTTCTTCAAATTTCAATCGCCACCGAATCTTTCATGAGAAAAGATACACAAAGGACCTCCCAGTTCTTCAGCCCTGTCCAAGAGGATCAATCTAAAGACCCCCACCTTCCTTAGGACTGAAGTAGAGAAAAATCACGAGTTGTCCATTGAAAATACCTTGACAAACCGTGCATAGATAGAGTTACCTTGACGCCGGCACCCTGTCAAGGCAAACGAGTCCATAAAACTATTTAAAGTATTTAACCCACAAGCTTTTCACGGTACTAAAAACCAACACCAAACCTGTTTCTAAAAATATGCACCACCCATACCTTTGTCTCTACGTCAGCATCAACCCTGCGCTGTTCATGAATTAAGACATCAAACTGCCTTGTGCTCAGTAACTGCCTCTCTCTGTCCGTCAACAATCTACGGCAAGGGTGAGGAGGGTGGCAGATCACAACATCAATGAGGAAAGTAAAACAAGCAGCAGTGAACATGATGACAACTAAGCCAAAAAAACAGATTTGCATTAAAAAAAACAACAACTACCATCCCCCCCCCAAAAAAAAAAAAAATCTGTATCACCTCTACAGAGTCCTTTGCATCTAGCCTGAAGTCATTCAGCTGCAGGCAAATATAGATCTATCAATAAGTTTTATTTTATGAGTTAGTTGTGTGAGCGTGTGTGTGTGTGTGTGTGTGTGTGTGTGTGTGTGTGTGTGTGTGTGTGTGTGTGTGTGTGTGTGCTGGAAAGTATCTACAAATATGTATTATTTTATGAGTGTGTGTGTGTGTGTGTGTGTGTGTGTGTGTGTAAGTGTGTGCGTGCGTGCGGGTGTGCGAGCGTGTGTGTGCATATATGTTAAGTATGTATGTATGTGTGTATGTAGGAATTGTTGCATGTGTGCTACCAGCCTCTGCTTTACGTAGCTAGATGTTAGAAGGTAAGAACAAAACTCGTGAACCACCGGGCAGAGAAGAAAATAAAAATGTTCATAGGAACTTTTCAGATGCTTTTAAATGAACCAATAATGTAAAATAGTTTACCCTCCTCTAAAAAATAAACTATTTTCCCTCCAAAATCCCATTGTGAACCACCAAAAAAAAAAAAGAAGTGAAATAAAGCCACAACTGTTAGAAAAATTAAAAGAGCACACACACAGAAAATAAACACATTAAACTTTACACGAACACATTTCAGTTTTGCTAATGAGAGCCAGTATTCACACACACACATGTAACAAAGAAAACAAAAAGAAATGAAAATCACTCTTGTGAAACCATTTGGACACGCTAAAAATTCCACTTTATTTCAAATTTTTCATAAAACTTTTACTGCATCCAAATGATTTCACAAGAGTAATTGTAGGGTGGAAGTGCATTGGAGGGAGCATGTGAAGGGAAATGCCTCATATATTACTTTCATTTCTTTTCGTTTTCTTCAGATTGTTATTCAGATTATGGAAATAACCTCTCACACTATTTGAAAAAAAAATTCTGGTGCAGTTGATATTCACAAGTACATGCTTTTTTTTTTTCCTTTGAAAATCAAAATGAGAACATTAAAACAGATCCAACTATTACAAGAAATATTTCATCAAGAACACAGTATCTACAATGTATACAGCGCTAAATCACAGGACAAGAGGGGGAAATAGACAATCTGGGAAGGGTTTTAAACATAGAAAGAGTCACTTGGTATGTTCAGGTGCATTTTTGTACTTTCGCGTTTGTATGGGGGGGGGGGGGGGGGGGGGGGGGGGAGAGAAAGAGAGAGAGAGAGACAGAGAAAGAAAGACAGCAAGCTGACCAGAAAGAGAGAAAGTGAAAGACAGAGATAGAGAGTGAAAGTGTACATGTGTGTGTGTGTTTGTGCGAGTGTGTTTGTGAGTGTGTATTTCTGTGTGCGTGTGTATGTGTACATGTGCATGCTTGTGTGTGGTTGTGAGGGAGCCCAAGTGAAAGAGGGTGCGTATGTGTGTGTGCGCATATGTGTTTACCTGTATGTGTGCATATTATGTGTGTACATGTATGTGTGTCTGTGTGTGTGTGTGTGAGTATGTCTATGGGTGTCTGAGTGATATGTTAAGTGCTCACGACTGTCACAAAAGTATACATGTATAGCTTTAGTAAGAGTTTTACGGCACTTGCAACACAATAGGGTCATATATGTGCTGAAGATTAGAGGTGCTACAAGAGAGAAACAAACACAAAAATAGAAGAAGGGGAGAAAAGGACGACAGACGTTTGACAGAAAAGAAGGAACAAACCACAGAGCACCCGCCAACCACCCACATATATGTATATTTGTGTGAATATGTATGTGAGGGAAAGAGTGAGCACACCTTCTAGCATTTGTTCTGGAACGTGCTTCATCTTTCTGTATGAGACAACCCCACCCCTCTGCCTCTGAAATGCTCTTACTCCCCTCATCATCCTACACTAATGTACCCAGCGCACTGAACACAGTCTTCTGAAAACCCTTAGCCCTGCACTGGGCCCGCCTCTGTGATTACTAGTAATCTAATTTCTGTGGTGCCCTTAATGACTCGACGGTGAAGCTAAGGGAATCAATAGCTTGTTGCACACCACCGGACCCCACTGTGTCTCCTCTGATGGGAAGGACTTACAGCATTAATAGTTTGCATTCTCGCTATCAGGGCTTTCTCTCCTTTCTTTTAGTTTTCGTTGAGATAAAACTATATTTTTATTTATAAATATACATGTACACAGTATAACACAGATAGGTCGAACACAGAAGACTCGAAATCACACATCCGTCCAACCGAGCCAGCGGTCCCGTTTTTATCTTCTTCTTTATCTTTGTAAGATATCCCTTGAACTACAGATCCCTCGAATTACCGAGGCCGGTCCTGAAGAATTCGAGCTATCCATGTTATACTGTATATATGTCATTTATAATTTATGCTGCTTACATGGGAGTCTGTTCTGTAAAAGGTGTATGTTTTATGTGATGTGGGCCAGCCCTTTTGAGTACTGAATAAAACATCTATCTACCTACCCACCCATTTTTTAGTTTCAGTCAGGAGAAAGGAAATAGGAACAACAAAAGAAAAATAAGTAATCTTTTGCTTAATAATGTGCATGTGTGGCTTAAAAGTGAAGGTAACAGAACACTGACATGAGTCCTTCTAGATGGAAGGCTTTTAAAGCAAATTGTAGGTGTGCCAGTAAAAGCATGAGCCAGTGAGTGAATGAGTGTGTTGATACGAGTGTATGTACGAGAACGCTTGTGTGTACTTGTGTGTGTGTATGGTTGTTTTGTGTGTGTGTGTGTGTCTGTGTGTGTAAGCGTGTGTGTGTAAGTGTATGTGTGTAAGTGTGTGTGTTTGCATGCATGCATGTGTGTGTGCATGCGTATGTATGTGTGTGGGCGTGCCCCAGCGAGAGAGCATGCAAGAGTGACATTTGAGGAGGAGGGGGGTCAACAAAAACCCCCCACATCAACTACCACACTCCAGTATGGGTGAGAGTGAGCAAGGAAAAAAACAAAACGCCTATTTTTTACAGGAGCAACAATAAGAGACATAAATACATGTGTAATATAATCAGGCTACAAAATGAGCAAAAACAAATAGCAAAAGCAGTCAGTCACTATGCAAAAGAAACACCTATGCAATTTTTGTGGCTTCAAACAGGATGCCAACAGCACAATCACATCACACAGCTTTAACGACTTTTATAGGGCGAACAAGCTTTATGATTTCTATTTTTCTGTCAAAAAATCAAACATCTTTGCAATCCCTTTTCTTAATTACACAGTAGGCTTAGAGAAGACTGGTATCAGACCAAAGAGGTTATATATGATACTAGAGCTGGCAGCAGTGATGTCACACGTGTCAGACATGGGGGCCAACTTACCCTCAATGGCATGGTCGGTGTGCCTCCATTTACATGAACAATGTGAGTCCCTACCCCACTCTAATATACTAAACACCACCCTGCCCCTATATTTCAGACCAAGCTTGTAGATTTCCTCCTAAGACCGCCGAGATGCCTTCCCACGAGTCTCGAAAAGTAGCCTACTCACCCGTCTGTTGAACTAGCCCCCGTTGGTTTATGTGAGAGGACATCACTGCCAGGAACTCTAGTACTAAATATAACCTCTTTGAATCAGACCGTCTTGAATAAGCTCAAACAACAGTAACACATCCTACCGTCACAACATCAAATACTGAGCACATCTAAATGCATTCACATGGCGTGGAGGTAACACATCCACCATACCAACCTACCATTCTTACATAAGATGATACAGTGAACGGGCCACACTCCAACTCCAACTGACCTCTAAGATTGTTGCATGAAATATGAAAGGACTTTTCTCATCTCACAGCTGGAATGCTCATGACATATAAGATCTCAGCTTCAGTCCTTGCAAAGTACAATATCAATTGATTCCGGCTAATAATTGCCCAGTCAATGATTGATCTCCTAAAAGTATACTTTCAGTGCTTTGATCAGAACTAACAACAACATACCACTGGAAGATTTCTCTTTCAAATTAGTTCAAGTTGGTTAGTTCTAGTACGAGTTTTACGGCATTTGCAACACAAATAGGTCATATAAGTCCCAAAGATTAGAGGTATTACAAGAGAGAAACACAAAAAATAAAGGTGGGGGGGAGGGGAAAGAGACAGATAAGGACAATAGAATAGATGTTTGATACGTAAGAAAGAACAAACCACACTACATCTGTAAGCTGACAAAAAAATTTTTTTTATACATCAAAGCCTGATCAGTTATCTACTTGTGTGAAAAAAATCAAAGTCAAGCTGCGACTCTTTCTTTAAAATAAATTGGAATTTCAAATTTTGGAAAAATTTTTAATGGTTGTGCTGACCAAAAAACTCTTTTTCCCAAAACTTCTGCGGGAAAGAAAAGGGCGCTTTGTCAGCTCACGGCAGACTAGGGCATCCGTTAACCACCCACTGCCAGGGTCTTAAGGAGAAAACGACAATGACATTCTTTATTCATCTCCCAGGGAGAAATTTGTCTTGATAATGACCAAACAGTATATAATAAAATGATGCGCCCTTTTCACAAAGTACAAGCAAAAGATGTCGACATATACACTTTCAAGGTAGTGTCTGGATTAGCCTTTCTTACCTAACTTCTAAAATAATGAAAAAGTCACAGAACCCAGAAGTTCAGGTTCTGATCTATAATAAACAACACAATTTATTGTCAAAGACAGGAGTTCAAACAGAATGCCATTAGCCACTCGTGTACTGTGCAGGAAAATGTTCTGTGTACTCATGATGATTTTAAGACAAGAAATATGTCATTCTTAATTAGTATGAATAAGACTCGAGACCCATTATAACAAAAGCTATCTCTCTAAAACAATCAGTACAACAGAGAAACTTGCTTTTATTCTTTAAAGTAACATTTCTTTTTGTGAGCATTTTCAAGTTCAAACAAAACTGGAATGCCACATTCTACTTCTTTCCATTTCTTCTATAAACCCAGCCGATCCATTTGTGTCACGACGCAGTGGAATCAAGCGCTCGTTAATTTTTTGACATGTGGAGTTACTGGTATCATTTTAAAGCTTGTTAATTTGTCTTGCTTTCATCGAAAAGAAACCTCATCTATCATGAATAGAAGTCGAGATATTTTCAATTGAAGTAGGTGAGGATCGCTTGGTTTCAGAGGTAAAATTAGCGAGAAAATGGCCACAAAGTTTGGCAGCTTCCAAAGCTTGAGAGTCCTTAGAGATTGCAAATTTACATTTTTTGTGCCTTAAATCAACATTTTTCAGAAAACTCCACACAGAAATGTTTTTTAAAAAGAACTTTAAGGGTGTTGAGCCAAAAAACAAAAATTTGAAAAAAAAAAAAGCCAAAAGTACAGAAAAATGCCAGTTTCTTCGAATTCATTATTTTGACGAGCGCCTGATTTCACCACGATGCATCACAATTGTTATCAAACAGATCATCATACAACACACACAAACAAAGCCCATACCACTAAGACTAAAAGCCACGAACTCCATATCATGTCCATACACCACTTGGGTGACGGATAGCATGAAAATCTCAATGCTCAACCACAAACACCTTTAACAGCCTTTGACAAAAGTTTAAGGATAATTACCTTGTCATCTCATCTCGAGGAGGCTCCTGCAAAGATGAAAGAAAAAATGTCATCATTGTAACCTTTGAAATATGGATTAAATGTCAATCATGCAGAGCCTATTTTTGAGCAGTGATGTCACCTTATGAAAGAGAAACCTATCGATACTTTGTTAAACATTAAAAATTTTAAGACTTTGGAATTTTTCGAAACTTGTACCCAGTACTATTCTTGAGGTCATGTTCCTCAGATGAAAAAGTCAATACTGCAATGAAACCGTAATAGATGTCTCATATTTCATTTGTGAAATGGTCTTATAGTGTATACTTGACTGTAGATCAGAGCACGTTTAAAGCCAAAGACTACTGCATATTCAGAAATACAAAACTGTAGCACAAGTGGAGACAAAAGTACATGTACTTTGCTGCTTAAACCCCAAATATATTTCTTTATTTGCTCAACAGATATCTTTTGAGTTTGAGTTTGAGTAAATAGAAGCACACATCGACACAATAATGGTCACTTAGGGCAGGGAAAAAGTAAGACAGGCAGACAGAAATGACAGAGGGAAAGAAAAGAACTTAGCCCTGCCAGTGGTGCTCTCTAAATCACCCCCCCCCACCCTTATATTAAAAAAAAAAACACCCCAAAAAACCCCAACTTTGACTGGGATTGGAAAAAACTTACCTCGTCCATGAGATTCTCGAACTGAAAAGGGAAGAAAAAAGGACATTAATATAATATAAAATATCCATTAACTATCATCATCCAGTGCCAGACCTGTGGCAGACATTGGCGATCAGGGTTCTCCATTCATTCCTTTGCTTGGATGTTCTTAGAAAAGCTACTTTTCCCTGATCTTTCCCTGTTACCCATTTGTTTAGGTTTCCTAAGTAGGTTGCTCTGGGCCTACCCCTGCCTTGTTTGCCTTGAATTTAGCCAGTGATCTCTCTCTTTCTCTACCCACCCCCTCCCAATATTCATCTCTCCTGCTCTCTCAGATAGCCAGAATTCGACTCCTTATTTTTCTTTTTGGTGCTTTAATAATAATAATACGGAAAAGTCAAAACAAATAAAAATAGAAATGACAGTAATGACATAACTGTCATAACATTTTCAAAACATTTCTAACATCTCAAAATTTAAACGCCTTCTTCTTCATCAGATTTTGGTTTTAACTGAACTTCATGACATAAGTTTAAACATGCTTAAAAATATATGAAACCTTCAAAGCCCACTAAAGCTCTAAAGATAACTTGCATTATTTTAATATTTAAAAAATATATAATACATGTTCAAAGCAAAGAACTTGAAGCAAAAAAATTGCTAATGGTAAAATTGTCATGGTCTCAGCCAGAGCCACAAACAGGAGTTAACATATTTCTAGTTGAACTAGCCATCTGCTTTGGTTTCAAATTTTACTTTTGACATACCAAATGGTACACACAAAAAGTTGCAAAATTAGCCTTTCATCTGAATATCATATATATATACATAAATGCAAATAAAAATTCCTTTTGTTTTTCTATGAGAACACTGTTTACGATTTCACCACCTTAATGCTGAACCAGTCAGGTTCTCCCTAACAGTACTTTGATGAATGAGAGAATGCAAGACATGGGGTATTGTATCAAATGGTAGGGATCATAAGAAAAGTTGAAGTTCATTGAATCAGAGGGGTAAACAGGGCACACATGGAACGGACATGAGAATTCGCCGAGAGACGAAACAGAATGTAAACAGTAACTACTGCCTGCTAGAGAATAGATTTACAATTCAATTGTACCGGTATTCCATTCCAATTTGACTTTGTACATAAACATACACACACAAACACATTATAAAAAATTATCAAAGTCACTCATTTTTGGTGTAGTTCAATAACCAACACTTGACTTTTCTTTTACTAAACTGAACCTTTTGCTTCCTCGCTTCACACCATAATCAAAACCTTGATCAAGGAAGAAAGGAAACCTGTCTGTCTGAACACTTTTTAACAGAGCTTTGAAACCCCACGGTAGACTTCATTTAAAAGTAATTCATCCCATCAAGGCTCAAAGAAAAATTCATGAAAAGGAAACGCATCAAAAGACTAACATTTTGAAGGAATATTCTGAAGCAAAAATCTGTTCAATATCAGGAGTGAATGACCACCAGGACCTCATTTTCAATCATTTCAATTCAAGTTAGACACTGGAAAACAAATAAGCTAAATAAATTTCTTTTTTTAAAACGAAGAACAAACACAACACGACCGGAGAAAGCATACTCTATCATAATTTGCACTAATAGGCTAAGGGATCACACAAAGGAAGTGCACAGGGCTATTATAAGACTAATGATTAAGTATTAACGCTTTTCTATTTCAAGGGAGATTGGATACAGGAAGGTGGAGGAGTGAAAATAAATGAATTTCTTAAGATCTCCTTTCCCCAAGAAGCATTTCTTGGATGAAAGGTTACATACAAAGTCAAGTTACTGATGCAAGTCAGTAACCAAGAAAATGAATAGAGTGTAGACATGAGGTATGAAAATTACACTGGTAGCTCATTACAAGTTTTCCTAGAGGAAGAGAGGGAAATATTTAAGCACTGCTGTTTCTTAAATCACTTTTCTTTTATGTTTTTTACTGTTCTTGAAGCAGTGGATAGATACATTGGGGAGCTCATCACCCATAGTACGCGAGCAAACAACCTCCATCTACACTTTGCTCTCCATCTGAATTACATCAGATTCTAATGTTGTTTGAATTTTCTTCTAACAATTAATTTACTGAATAAACGGAGTTCAACAAGAACAGTGTAACGTCACATGCAGGAATTGGAACATTATACTATTGAATGCATTATCATCTATAAGAATTGTAAATATTTCATATAAATAAAAGAATAATGCAAGCATTATTGTCACTCAAGATCATCAACTTTTTCTCATCTCTTAAATTTTTCTTAAGTGTACCAACTGAAAACACCTGTGAATAAGTGTGATTGTGGACAACTAAGCCTAACCTACTTTGTGAGGGTTTCTCACTGCTTAGATTCTACTTCGATGCTGTAACTTCTGAACACATCTAGATAGTACAAGCAGCTTTTAATAGATTTCATATTCCATCAAGTGTACAAATCTTGATTTTACTGAATAAATTGAAACAGAAGCATGCTGCACATCATAGATCTACTAGTTTGTTTGACTCACTTTTTACTCAGAAGGTAGATGTTCAATCACAAATTCCATATATAATAGTCTGCACGTTCAAAATAGGAATTTGGACATAAAAAATAACCTTGACGAGTTTCAAAATTATTGACGAATTATGAAACTCTGACACACTCCTTCCTAAATTTACTTCTAAGTGCATGATAAGAACTCGCACATAATAGAATTTTAACTATGTATGTCAGTGCGCTAAAAATGTTAAATAAAGTAGATTGTGCAAGAGCAAACATTCGAGGGTTTTTTTTAAGCAATGGCATGGAGAAATTGGGGAATAAACCAGTGTGTGAGACACAAATACATACGCCATCATCGAAAAAATATTCCTGCAATGTAAATTGAACATAAATATCTGCCTATCTTTGTGGTGCTGTCATATTTAAGAAAGGCACAACAAAAATTAAAATGACACTCTTGTCCAAATACTGAAGAAGCTTTTCTTTTTCTTTCCACTGCACTGATGATGATTGGGGAATAACGTTCATTACATTATAACACCTGTTGTAACTCTTATGTAACGCATTGGGATTTAGAAAGTACCTTTCTTTTTTTGGACGACACTTTTCGGTTACAGCGTATTAGGGGACAAAAAACCCCCAAAAAACAAAGAGCCCTTTCAAGCTTGCTTTTCTTTACTCTCTCTCTAAATCTGTTTGTACCCACTAACTGAACAATATTACAATGATGATAAAGTTGGGTTAGAAGTGCTGATTCGTAAACTTATTACAATCTTATGATGGTAAACTTAAAGTTTGCAACAAAAGTTTGCAAACATTTTTGGACAGATTTTCCTAAAATTTCTCCCATTAAACTTTTTATGTTCAACACCACATGTTGGGTGAATAAATGACAAATTCATCAATTGTATAATAACAGTGTATGCCGATTTATAGAGCAAAGCTCAATGTATGTTGGGTTTTTTGGGTATACTAAAAAATGAAATTTAAAATCATTGATTAACATACAAAACAACTACTACAACATCCAAAGAGACCAATCTTCGTTTGAAGTTCAGATCTTTTGATCTATCATAGATTATATATATAGCTTTTCTAAAAAGGGTAGTCACGAACAGAGTAAATAAAACACATTTCAATTTTATAAAACTGTACCTCAATTGAAAAATCTTTCTCTGCTGCATACTTAGATCGAAGGTACCTTCTCCTGTAATCAAATATAAACAATAAATTTCATTATTTGCTTTCTTTAAAAAAGACAAATCAAAATAAATGAAAGAATGTCATCTTACCTGATTTCAATGTCCACAAAACCCATCACACCATGCAAAAACCAAGAATTTGATATTTTGCAGTAAGCTAGGTTTGAAATGTTCTTGAAAATAATTGACTTGCAACAATTTTTTTAGTGGTTATATATAGATATCTATATATGTGTGATCGGCTGAAAAAACTATAGCAGTTTGAACCTCAAAGCAGTGCACCTGTGTGCGGGAGTAAAGTGTAAAAGTATACCAATATTTAGAAACTCAACAATACCTTGGCCAAGGGGAGGGGGTGGGGGATGGGTGTCCAAGTCCAAGGGGATGACACCCCCCCCCCCCTTTCAGGGACACACCAACACAAATTTTATAACATAACTTGCCGCATAACTGCCACTTCACAGGTTCACTGCATCTAATATCTTAAAAATAGATGTTGTTGTTGTCGATCCGACAGATTAAAAATAGATCTATAAATCTAGATCTAGTTTATTTTTGCAAAGTGCTGTAAAGTCTTTGTTCAATTAAAAGCAAAACACATGAAGCTGCAGCGAGCACCTGGCACACCTCTGTGATTGACCCAAATATAGATGACGTATTTCCGCCATCTATTTTTGTCGCCTTCCGGGGCTTCTGTCGCCAGTTGACTAGATCTCACAGGGGCAGGCCTGCTTCGCCGCTTAGAGCGCGATGGGCTACGACACTAGATCTAGGTTTCATCACCGACTGCTTGGGTCGTGTCTGTGAGCGCGAGTGTGTGTGTGTGTGTGTGTGCACACACTTGTGTGTATGTGCATGCGAACGCTTGTTTGAGTATGTGTGAGTGCGTGTGTGTGTGTGCGTGGATTGTGCGTGTGCACGCACACACTTGTGTGTGTGTTGGTGTATAAATTTGAGGAGAAGGTAAATTTATGGAACGAGAATTGCTGAGATTGTTTATAAAAGATAACACACAAATTAATACAAAAAGCAAACAGGGCGAGATCTACTTGTTACTTGTTAACAGTTACGGGCGAGGGAAGGAATCTTGGGGGAAACCTCGCAAGACGACAAAAATAGATGGCGGAATACGTCATCTCTATATGGGCCAATCACAGAGGTATGCAAGGTGCTTGCTGTAGCTTCATGTAATCAAAATTGACTAAACCCATGAGACTATACTATACTATACACAAGACTAAGACGAAGAGATAAAAGTGGAGAAGAAGAACTCAGGGCTCCCCACTTAAACCTAAGTTTTTGTGGGGTGTGAGCTTTACTCTTTATAATTTCATTTCGGGGGTTTGCATACACGCTTTAAAACATAAGCGGTGTGCGTCTTGCAAGCATCATTTTCCCCTTCTCCATCCCGAAGTCGAGTCAATGATTTGACGACACACCCACACACATGCACGACAGTCGCCTTCAGTGTCAGAAGAAGTCGACTAGTCCACCTACTTTTCAGCTGCGCGCAGTTTCTGGCAGCACCGGCTGGCCACAGCACAGGCGCTCCGCCCACATTCTTTTCGCTCACATTTGCCGGTATCGTGCCTTGAGTTTATCCCTGCCGTGAGATTACCCCCATCCTTCTTTAAACACACTAATATAAACATGAATTGTCCGCCATGGAAAGTCTGGAAAGACTGAAATGTGAACCCTGTGATGGCTCTGAAAAATAATGAATCAGTTTATTTTCCAACCCTGCCGCTGATCCCTGCCCTAAATCTCAAGCATCCCGATTCTCTCGATTCTAATCGCGTGTATCCCGATTTTTTAAATTAATTTTT